ATGAGAACCCAGTAGAAGGAACAGTAAGTGGAATGCAGTTCCAGCCTGCTTTTATAAATAGGCATGGAAACATTAGATTTTTATCAGTAAACATCAGTAATCGTCAATTTCACTGTACACACACAGAGAAAAAAATATTTCCATCAATTATAATCGACATTTACAGACAGGTACTATATGAAAAATGCTGCTTGAGAACTTAGCGTTTAAGTATATTTACTTTTTATTAGGGCTGTCAAGCAATTAAAAAAAGGAATCACGATTAATTGCACTGTTAAACAATAATAGAATACCATGTATTTAAATATTTTTGGATGTTTTCTACATTTTCAAGTATATTGATTTCAATAACAACACAGAATACAAAGTGAACAGTGCTCACTTTATATTTATTTTTGGTTACAAATATTTGCACTGTAAAAAAAAGAAATAGTAGTTTTCAATTTACCTAATATGAGTACTGTAGTGCAATCTCTTTAGCATTAAATTTGAACTTAAAAATGTAGAATTATGTACAAAAAAAACTGCATTCAAAAATAAAACAATGTAAAATTTTAGAGCCTACAAGTCCACTCAGTGCTATTTCTTGTTCAGCCAATTGCTCAAACGAGTTTATCTCCTGCAAATGTAAACAATGCTGCCCGCTTCTAGTTCACAATGTCACCTGAAGTGAGAACAGGTGTTCTCATGGCACCGTTGCAGCCAGCGTTGCAAGTTATTTATATGCCAGATGCGCTAAAGATTCATGCTTCATCCACCATTCCAGAGGACATGCGTCCATGCTGATGACAGGTTCTGCTCGATAACAATCCAAAGCAGTGTGGACTGACGCATGTTCATTTTCATTATCTGAGTCAGATGCCACCAGAAGAAGGTTGATTTTCTTTTTTGGTGGTTCAGATTCAGTTGGTTTTGCATCGGAGTGTTGCTCTCTTAAGACTTCTGAAAGCATGCTTCACGCCTCATCCCTCTCAGATTTTGGACGGCACTTCAGATTCTTAAACCTTGGGTCGAGTACTGTAGCTATCTTTAGAAATCTCACATTGGTACCTTCTTTGCGTTTTGTCAAATCTGCAGCAAAAGTGTTCTTAAAATGAACAACATGTGCTGAGTCATCATCCAAGACTACTATAACATGAAATATATGGCAGAATGCAGGTAAAACAGAGCCAGAGACATACAATTCTTCCCCAAGGAGTTCAGTCACAAATTTAATTAATGCATCATTTTTTTTACCAAGCGTCATCAGCATGGAAGCATGTCCTCTGGAATGGTGGCCAAAGCATGAATGGGCATATGGATGTTTAGCATATCTGGCACGTAAATACCTTGCAATGCCAGCTACAAAAGTCCCATGTGAATGCCTGTTCTCATTTTCTGGTGACATTGTAAATAAGAAGTGGGCAGCATTATCTCCCATAAATGTAAACAAATTTGTTTTTGTGTTTGGCTGAACAAGAAGAAGGACTAAGTGGACTTTTAGGTTCTAAAGTTTTGCACTGTTTTGTTTTTTAAAAAAACCCTACATTTGTAAGTTGCATCTTCACGATAAAGATTGCACTACAATACTTGTACAAGGTGAACTGAAAAATACTATTTCTTTTATAATTTTTACAGTGCAAATATTTGTAATCAAAAATAATATAAAGTGAGCAGTGTACACTTTGTATTCTGTGTGGTCACTGAAATAAACATATTTGAAAATGTAGAAAAACATCCAAAATATTTAATAAAATTCAATTGGTATTCTATTGTTTAACACTGTGATTAAATCTGGGATTAATTGTGATTATTTTTTAATCAAGATTAATTTTTTTGATTTAATCGCATGAGTTAACTGCGATTAATCGACAGTCCCACTTTTTATATTTTGACATGCAATGTTGACAATTTTAACAGTTATAAAGCTTTAACTTGTTAATCTCAACATCTACTGTCATTAAATAATTGTCTGACCCCAACCCCCAAAAAAACTTTACATATTTAATTGTTTAATTCATGGTGAAAAGATTTATCACTCTGAGATTTCACACTTTTGGATGGAGCAAAATGATTGCAGTTTTCCTGAAAGTAGGCTTTCCAGGCATAAAGAAACATTCTGTAAATTTTACAATGTACATAAGAGATTTGTGTTTATGATTACTCTATGGTAGCAAATAGAGTATATACATATATATGCACACACACAAATAATATATATTCAGTATACACACAGATCTCTCCTAATGGTTACCATTAAGTTTCTGCAGAAAGCATCTCTACAAGCAATGGGCAACCATAAAGATTCCATACACTTAGCACCCATCTGTGCTGGATTGTTTCATAATCCACATTCAAATATTGATGTTACTTGTCCTATTCATAAGTCTGTCTATGCTGCATCAATGTTATACTACATTTGGGCATTTTTACCCTTTATTGTACAACAAAACCTGTAATTAAAACTTTAAAAGTGCAGTTCTACTCAGTAGTGTACTATAGCAACATGGTACCTCTTTATTCAGATCTGAATCTTGTGTGTATTCAGAGTATTATCTCGCTATTTTAGTGACAAAAATTAAGTGTTTACTTTTTAATTGTTAGTGCTGGAGAGCCAACAGAGCAAAGAGGGAGTGAGCTTTATTCTGTGTTATCTTGTGCAGTGTCAACAGAATAGATGACAAAGTTCCAGTTAGTTACAGCTGTGCAAACCATAATTTGGCATGCAGAATCTGTGTTACTTGTGCTCATGTGCAAGATAGAAGAACCCACTGAATTTGCAGGGCTGACGTAACATCTTTATGATTTATAAACTGGGTATTTTGAGTAGGAAATCATTGAGACAATAAGCAGGGAATCCATGATGTTATTTTACCAAGTCACATCTCAGAGTAGAACCTCATTTAAAATATTTTTCAGTGGGCATTGAAAGATCTCTTCCAACAAATGTTAGCTGTAACTGCTGATCATATCACTTAAGAATGCGCAAAATAGTCTGTTTTTTTCCAGTGTATTTCGTATATTTCAATTCATATCAACTCTTCATTAGTCAGGCAATAAAGAAGTCACTTTTAAATGTGTATTTGAATAATGAAATGATTGCTCATGACTGTATTTATCACTATTAAATATTAATTACCAAATACACTTGCTGGATGTAAACCTTTTGTATTTCAATAAAATATAATAAAACTGTTTACTTGAAAATTGCATAGGAGATTCAATCGGTATTTAATTTCATTATCATAATTACATCCTAATTTGATGTTTGGGTCTTAAATTAATTTGGAAATAAAGAGCATAAAAACTGTCACAGGCAAGTAGAATCTAGAGTTGAAATAGGATAAATCCAAAGGGATGCTTAACATCACTTCATCCTTGTCCCAGACATGCAGGAAGAAAGACAATTAGGCTGCGACTTTAATAACTTGTCTCATTGCTGGCAAGTTCCTAGATAGTTTGTACAGTGCAGCTCATGAGCCCTTCCTTAATCGCTCTCACCTGATGGAGGGCTGCCATCAGCCTCCCACAGCTGCCCAGCCCATCTTTGGGACCCCTTCACCAAGTACCAGAGTGAAGGGGCTGGACAAAAGGGGTTGTGTTCTTGCTGTACCAGGTATCAGGAGCCCCAATCCCATTCCCCAGCTGGTTTAGGAGATGCCTTTCTCTAAATCCACTTCCAGCTTATCAGGGACCTAGACCCTGTGTGGAACAAATCCTTGCACTGGACACATGCCACAAGGAGCACCAGTCATTTTGCTTGGCTGCCTCACACCATTCCCAGCTGGGTTCCCAGATAGTTAACAATTTCCTCCATAACAGCCAACAATATATCTGCTCCCTGCTCAGGAAGGTGTACCTCATTGGTACCTTAGTTATTCAGGGACAAATACAATAATTTTGGGTGGGTAATTATGGATCCTCCCCATTCCTGATGATTCACACACCTTCTGGCCTTGTCAACCAAGAGAGGGCTGGTGGCTCCCCATCATACCATTCTGTTGCAGCATTTCAGACCAGTCAGCATCAGACCCCGGATCTGGATTTTCCCTAAATATCTCTGTGCCCTGATGATTACATCACCCTCTTACAAAATCCCTAATCAACTAATGAACTATAATCATTTCAGGTGGCTGCTTCCTGACTGCAAAGAGTGTAAAACAGGCATCAGCTGGTCCCAGAGCACATCCCTCCTGCCACGCCAACTCCAATTTGCCTTGCCTCGCCACTGAGGCCCAGCTGTGGACCTCCAGGGGAACTGACTGCCTCCCTGTGGGTCCCAACGCATAATATTGTGCCCACAGATCCAAACATCAAGTCTCATGATCTGCTCCATGTCACCTTCCCCTCCATCCATGCCAACTCAGAACTTCATCCCAGAAATGAACTTCTAGGGGGAAACAGCCACCCACCTTTGAGCCAAATGCATACTATTGTGTCTGCACATCCAGTCATCAACTCCTGTGACGTGTTCACATGATTCTGACGGAAGAGACAAACAGGGAGAGTTTAGCACATATAAACCACTCAACTATTTTCCTCTACAGGGACCTCCAAACCCTTCTATGCATTTGGATGCCGTCACTGACAGGCATAATAAGTTGGGCTTTTATTCTAAGCTACGTTCAGGATGTAACCACTCCAATGCTGAATGAATGGGATCCCAATTCACCAGCAAAATCTCAACATTATGCGCTCCTTGACATCACCACAAAATGAAATGTCCTCTTCTGAGGTAACTCCCTTTCCCATGAAGAAAGGATGGTCTTAACACTCAGCCTGTCTGTATTGCTTGGACTGGGCGACTCTGCTAGTATTATAACTCACCTGGCCATCCCTTAATTGATTTCCTGACACTCAATCAGTATGTCAAGTGACCGTTACTCATCTACAATATTTCTTTTCCTTCATAAAGGCCTTTCTGCCTTTTTTTTTTATATATATATTTTTTTCTACACATGGTCAACTTTTCCCACTTAAATTTTCAAGTATTGAGTTAAAAGAAAGAGATACCAGACGCATTTCAACATGGAATGTATTTATTTTGTGTAATTTTCAGTACATCATTAAGAGATCAGTCTAGGTAAACTACTTGAAAAATATTTTTAAACAACAAAAACAAAAAAAGAGGGGGCAAGTGGCAAAAAGAAAAATAGAATCTCATCACTGGAAAGAAAAGGATGTATTTAATGACTTGATAAAATTCTAGGTAGATCCATATTCTTGGGTCATGTGATCAGGAATACAGCCTGGTATGTGTGTTTATTTCTTTTTATTTACTAACATGCTACATGTGAAAAGTCCCAGCTACTCTGGACACCAGGTTTGTTTTGGTTTTTAAATCAAACACATAGAACAGAGCTAATGTTTTCTATTCATTTTCCTGTTGAAGTGTCAGGTCAGGTTCAAATTGCTCCTTACTGCCAGATATCAGGAGCAGCATTAGCCAACACTGTATTCTCCATATGACAATGAGGCTAACTCCATATCACCAATGAGATAACCAAGTGTCAAATTTAGCAATCAGCTAATGCAAAGGACTGGTAAGCAGCTGATTGTGGTCTTAACCCCAACCTTGATTCTGATTTGAGAATGACTTCTGCTGTACTAACAGGCTCAGCTACCAGCAGCCACTTCCAGCCGAGACCTTTACTGGAATGCATGCTATCATGTCAAAATTGGAAAATTGCAAACTTTAGAAATTTTTCTCTGGCTCAAATTAAGACAAGAGCAAGTACCGAGAGCAATAGGAAGAGGTGGGAAATGTGTCAGATGATAACATCCAGCCACCAGGTGGTTCCATTTTGACTAAAGTAAGAAAGATTTCTTGGTTCTTATCTCAGACCCATTGCCATGATATCTGAGTGACTTACAAATATACTCTGACATAAGAAGCTTAAATATGCCATACTGTATAATAAAGGCTAGTTTCCTCCCAATGTATAACCATAGTTACTATTGAGGGAAGTTATGGGTATGCATCAAGAGATTTAACACTTTTAAATGTGTTAATATCAGGAATAAATTGATACACTGTATTTTTTTAAACTCTTTATAATGTACCAAAAATATCATGAGACTATACATAACTAGACAATAACTAAAATTCAGATAGAAAAAGAAGAGCGTGAGCATCTGAGCTCCAAGACAGTTCAAAACTTCCTTAAATGTGTCTATTAAATGCTCCAGTCTCTTATAATGTTTAGGATTTCCAAGAATCTGGTGACTGGAGGCTCTGAGATTCTGGTCCGAATTCAGCAATGTGCTGAAACAAGTGCCTAACTTCAACCACACAAGCAGTACCACTGAATTCATGTCATTAAATATATGCATGTGATGGAATAAATCGCTGAATTGGGGCCTTATGTATGCATCCTTCATACTGCAGTCAATAATTACTGCTTAAGTAAAGTGTCGGGTGTGGGAAGAAAAAGGACATTTTGAGAGCCTGACCAATGCCACCACATGACCCAAGAGTGATGCGATACTTACCTTGAAAGAAAACACACACTGACATTTTCAATGTTCAGTTCAGAGACACTGTCAATCACTTGTGTAGTGGATTCATAAATAAATAACTAGTTCTTTACTAAAAGATTTTCACACTTATTACAACTTGGAGTGTATTTCTGAGAACAGACTGACTGTGGCATGCACCCAATCTCTACTCTGACAGTTAGGAAGTGTTCTCATCACTTTTTCTTACTGCACTGTACAGCTGTACCTTTTCTTAAGTTCACAATGAAGGGAATTTAGAAACTAAAGTTTTCAAAAAAGTTTTCAACCTTAGGATCCAGAGAGGAAATCAGTTTATCTATATAGGGGGTGTGTGTGTGTGTGTGTGTGCGCGTGTGTGTGTGTAAACCGAAGGATGTAAGCTTTGTTCTTCACTACCGGAAGAGAGAATATTTTGCTTTCAAATGATACCTATTTAATTTTAACTAGAAGGCATCAAACTATATCTCTGTTTTTCCAATTTCTAGCACTGAGATATAAATATCAAGTTTTAATCTGTTGATATAGGGCCAGCATTAGGAACACCCGGATAAATAAATAAAAGGCAGTTTTCATGGTGTGAAATGGATAATTCCTATACACAAGCATTTTACTTGTGAAGCAAGGGCACTATTACATAAAGGTGGAACCCTGAAGGGAGATGAAGTACAAAGAAATCAGAGTGATTGAAGAAAAAGTTTGTTATTACAGTTGACCAAAAAAATTTAGCCATTTGAAGTAGCCTACTGTAATTAGACACTCCAGTGCGGCGTTGCTGAGCAAGACTCTGATACCATCTAACAGAAGTAACAATCTGTGTGCACGGATTAAAGTAAAAAGGATCTCTTAAAATTCAGACCTCTGTATTATAATTATGCTACACTACTATTTAAAAAAAGAAAAAAAAGGAAAAAAAACACATTTCCCTTATGCTTTCCTTTAATCTTAAATGTATCTAAAGAGATATCTTAGACAATTTTTGCATCATGTATTTAAATTACACTACCTGGGTAATTTAACTATCGAAGGACTCCTAACAAAGTTTTGTCAGAAAAATATAATTGGTGTTTGCAAGAAATCTGTATTAAAAAAAAATTGAGAGAGAAATGCAAGCCTAAATGTGCAGCACATCCGTTGAGTCCCTCCATTATTACACAATCCTTCAAATACATATGTGCTCTTCTCAAAACATATAAAAGAACAATGTCAGTTAAACTAAGAGACAAGGTAAGAAATCAAAGATTTCCCATAAGTTTCTCAAAAAGTCAGTACATACAGATGTTGAGCAGCTTTCAGATCAGGACATAACATGTCTTTGATCATACAGAAGTACTGTACACTCCAACTTCTCTGGAGAAGAAGTTGAAGCTAAGGCCTCACAATTCCAGTTATAAGATACATTGTACCCTCTTCAGTAGACCATCCTTGAAAGGTTACTATCTTGCATGTTCTGAAGAGGATTTTATAAAAAGGAAGTTGTAATAGGGTACATACTAGGATAAACTCCAAGTACAATAGTGGTATTTTACAGTGTTAGCATTATAACCAAAACTTTTGAGAAGGATGCAGCATATAAAGAAAATGCAACAAACATACTTGACTGAAACTTCTGCGAGGTCCACAGAATTAGTGAGTTCACTACACAAATTAAACATCAAAAGTACAAATTAAACTCCCATGATTAATAAAATCTGTTCACTTTAAATTAAACATCTCTAACACAATTACAGAATGTTTAAATCCTCTGTTGCATAGAGGAACTCTTCCCTTTATATCATAGTAAGGGTTCTCAACTCTAATATCAATGTGCAAGGTGACTATTTTAATAAGCTTTGCAACATAGCTGTTGCATACGTAGGACGAGCTTGTCGGCTCTTAATTGCATTTTGAAGATATTGGATGCCTCCACAGCGCTCCCAAATCTCTTCAAACTGTCTCGGCAAAATTTCAGCACCACGCTTTCGAGTTAAGCCAGTCTCTTCAAGATTTAGTTCACACATCTCCATATCATCCTTCCCTGAAATAGTTAATACAAAATTGGTTTTATAAAACCATTTACATGGTTCAAGATCCCATTAACAAAAATTATACATCTACTTTGTTCCCCCCCCATGTGTATCTTGCTTTTAAGAGACAATGTTTTACTATAGTTTACAAACAAACTTACATTAGTGCTATGAGACCAGTTTGATAGATCAAGAGACAGAAGTTCTCCTACCCATTAAATAAGTATAGCATGGACAGCTGCAGTATAGGCTAATTCTGCATGTTGCAACTGACATGCAAATGTGCTTCAAAAGTGAATAGGATAGACGTTGCAGGGGTTGTCAAGAGTTCTCAGCCTCCAGGTCTTTTCTGCTGAGATCACTGACAAGGATGGTTTTTGAAATGTGGGCACCCTGTCCACTAGGAAATTACTAATCAGTTTGTTTCACATAAGCCACTGAAATGCTACTGAAATATCATTATTAAGCTTGTTCAGATCTGAACAAGTGACCCAGAAGTTAAAAGGTTTTGTGTAACACTTCCAAAAGCTGAATCAGCCAGTCTCCCACACTAAACATTTAAAATGACATTTGTCAACTGGTATTACCTATATGTACATTTAATCCAAATACATGGAGAATGCAGCTAACCAATTTTTGTTTTTTTTACTGTGCCAGGAGGGACATTAAACAGTGTACCCATAGGAAACGTGTGTGTGTGTGTATACATATATATATATGTATGTGTGCACATGCATACATACACACACACACTTAATACATGAAAGAGGCACCAGGTAGATATTTCTATAATTATTAAAAATACTATTATTTCTAATTAGCATAGAGAGAACAAACTTAGGTGCTTGGAAATGCACCCTGACCATAAGACAATGCACAAGTCACCTGGGAAGGGTCTTCACTAGGGCCTTATTTATACTACCGGGGCAAGTCAACCTAAGTTACACTATTCCAGCTTCGTGAATAACGTAGCGGGAGTCGACGTAGTTTTAGGTTGACTTACTGCGGTGTCTACACCGCACTGGGTCGATGGGAGACGCTCTCGCGTCGACTTACCTTACTCTTCTCATGCTGGTGGAATACCAGAGTCTATCAGAGAGCGTTCTGCAGATGATTAAGACCCACTAAATTGACCCCCACTTCATCAATTGCAGCAGCACGATCCCAGGTAAGGAATATTTCAACACAAAGAGAGGAATGGTCTAACTGATCGCTTTTTTGGGGTCAGAAAATAATTTTCTCCTGGGGCAGGTTTGCAGAGACCCCGTGTGTGTGTGTGTGTGTGGGGGGGGGGGGGGTTCACCTTCCCCTGCAGCATGGGGCATGGGTCGCTTGCAGGATTAAACTAGTGTTAATGGTGAATTCTATGTAACTTGAAGTCTTTAAATCATGATCTCACGACTTCAATAACTCAGGCTTAGGTTAGAGATCTATTACAGGAGTGGGATGGTGAGGTTCTGTGGCCTGCAATGTACAGAAAGTCAGACTAGATGATCATGATAGTCCCTTCTGACCTTAAAATCTATGAGCCAATAAAAGTATCCTCTGGGCCATGAACAGTAAATGAAAGGGCAGCAGACTGAGGCTAGGTGGTGAGAGAAGGGGTCTCCCACAAGTCCAGGAAACATTTATAAACACATTGTTAAATATATAAATATTCAAACTTGTAGATAAATGGGTTTATGCCCCAATTTCTGACTTTTTAAAATTATCCTACTATTATAAACTATTTTTCATAATGGAATGATATATTGCTTAAGTCTCTCCCCACCCACAACTGCTTTCACTGCTACCTAAAATCAAATAAATAAAGCAGTGACCATGCACTATTTCTTAGATCACTTTATGTCTTTATCTTTGGTTTTGATGTTGTTTTGGTCCAGAGGTTATTGGAATCTGTACCAAGCCTCTCACAGCTACAATATAAATATCAGCACTGAATATTTTCTATACTTGAGTTTTTCTTTTCAAAAATTAAGAGAATATACCAACCTGCTACAAGCAGAATAGGTGGCTTGTCAGGATGAAGTTCCATTTGTCGAGCAATCCAAGGCCCATCAAAATGTGCACACCACCAACCTTTCTTCTTGTTTTGAGGATCTTTATACTGGTCTACTGGGCGAATGAAGGGAATGCGGAAGTAACGCTGTTGTCTGTTTATTTCAATCTCCTGTTGCCTGGCAGGCAACTGAGCTGTTGGGTTCTGTTGAGCTATTTACAGAAAACAGAGTTACAACTGCAGATAAAACAGCAAAAGCAGCCCTTCCCCCCAAACGCCTTCTTTTTCATGTGCAAAAAACTGAAATATTTCGTCATCAAATAATGTATTAATTATATTAAATCAATGCTAAAAAGCAAATTAGCTAAAACCACGTGACTCAAAATTTACCCTCCTGCATTTTCACAGTTAGCGCTCTTGCAATGGTAGTGACTTGGGAAGAGTTAGCGTTGGCCTACTTGGTAATTTGCAGCACAATGGTGTCTGGCCTTGAGCACATCTATACAATGGGGTGGTTAAAAAGCCACTCGGGTTAGAGTAATACTGAAGATATACTGTTTTTCATCCAACACTTTACAAACATAAAAGCAAAGTATTAAGCAGCAACCAGTCTATATTATAGTCTCTCTCTTCACAAAATCAAGTCATACTGCAGACAAGCAATTTTAGATATGAAAGGCTAATGTAATATTGTAATATCTAAAGAAAGATGTTCTTTTGATAACAGAAAAATCTTGTAATATCATTAAAGACATATAACGTGTTAACACAAATGCTGATTAATTTCCATTTATTACAAAACACTCACCAAAAATTGCTTTCTGAAATGTGCATTGAACTTACAAATTAGAATTACTTTCTGAGACTCTCAGGGCTTGTCTCCACTTACCAGGGGATGTACACGCAGCGATTGAGCCACCAGGGAACAATTTAGCGGGTCTAATGAAGACCCGCTAAATTGAACACTGATCTCTCTCCTGTCGACCCAGCATGGTGGAGACACTACAATAAGTCGACCTCAGGTACATCGACTCCAGCTAGGTCATTCATGTAGCTGGAGTTGCGTAACTTAGGTTGACTTAGTACTGTAATGTAGACCTGCCCTCAAAAAGTATTTACTGTATGTCATTAAAATCAGCTCAGTTGAACAAAAATTTACAGGAGACAAACATATTTTTAGGCAACTTGTTTCATGTTTAAGAAGTTCTGAAAGCAAGACCGATGCTTCTAAATAGCAACCTTAATATTAATAGATATTAGTCACCTATTAAGTAGCAAATCTATACTGGAACTTTAATAAAATTAAAAATTGGCAGACACATTTAATGAATAGATTTCTGCAGTTTCATAAACAAGACATTAGTGAAGAGAATAGCAAGCCGCACTTGCTATTTCTTCCATTTGTACGGGACTAGAATGGTTCATTAAAATCTAGAAAGCAACATCTGAAAAAAAGCCTGAAATGTAAATGTTAGTGCCTGAAAATTATACAGAAAACAAGATTTTTTCATGTCCACATAGGAAAAACAAGAAAAGATTTTCTACAGATCAGATTTTTAGTAATGTTTATTACATATGAGTTATCTGTGGATACCACTTTTATACACGAACATTGATAAAACACGTTCTATATGAAAGAATAAAATTTTGTATTTATTTATATTAAACTGCATAGAACTTCATGAATCTTTGTGAATTGCCTAAATGTGCATCACAACACATTGAAGACATGCTACTGTAAAACACATCTCTGCATTACAACAGCAATCAGTAGGTCTTATTTCTATCCTTTTGCACATTTACGTAAATCTAAAGGATAAAAATTCTGAGCAGTCAGCTTAGCCTTCACTTTTCAATGCTAGATATTTTGACACATACAGAACTATTCCATTTTAAAAAAGAAGCCAGCACACTAACGTTAGTTTTTGTTCTAAGAGAACAGCTGCTATATTAAGTTGATTGCAGAGTTTTGCTACAGTAGAAAAATGTGTACAAATATAATAAAAAGGGTAGAATTAAAATAATAGCATAGCATTTCTTGAAATAAAAAATGAGATTAACATACACCAATTAACCTACATCAAAAAGGTGTTTTCCCCAACATGTAGGATCTCATTATGAAAAGAAATCCAAAAATATACAACCATTAGAGAAACCAAGTGCGTGAGGTAAAAATCTTTAATTGGACCAACTTCTGTTGGTGAGAGAGACATGCTTTCAAGCTATACAGGGCTGTGGTAATGGAATACATATAGCCATTAAGTGTCCACATCTTGAGTTAATGTTTTTTGTGGTCAGTGAATTAATATTTTTCATTGGTATACTTTGATTCTACATACAAACATAGCAAAACGCTGTTCAACTGAAGTTAGTATAGAACTTACAAATGTTCCTATTCATTAAAGTTATCTTAACCATTTTCCCACTTACTTGAGTTGTTGAAAACTGGTGCAAAATCTGTAAACAAATATTCCATATTGAAGGAAACATAACAATGCTGACGCTGTTAAAGTTAAACTTTACGAAATACTGAAAATGTATCATCAAACCAGGTGACAAATGGAGAGTCCACTTGTAATGGAAATGTGGGTGCTGAGGTAATTCTCTGCCTTTCTGTGCTATTTATTGACATGAAGAAAATGTTTTCTTGTATTATGTTTCACAAATCTATGGTTGCTTATACTCTAACTAGGATATAAAATTGAAATTGATTTTTCAGTGACTTATAGTTCCAGTCACAAAAAACAAATGAACAAAAAACAGTGGGACAGGTATACTCAGCACAGATTGCAAGGATACATCTTTGTTAGTTATTTCATGTGATACCTTTAATAAACTTTTGACATTTTTACATGGAAAGAAAAATGATTCTTTAATTTGCCACTGTTCTGTTGATATCTAGGAAAGAGAAATGCAGCTCCATTTTTTTTGGCACTGTAAAACCCACTAATTCTAATCCCTTGTCTGAACCAGTGCTCATTGAACATGTTCTATTTCTCATGCCCACTGACATCTAATTACAGGACAGTTTGCATAAAACTACAATATATTCGTGAGTGGATAAAAACAGAAATATGTCATCTGAATCATGTATTCAGTGACATCTAAAAGAATTATAGCACAAGCATCCAAGAAATCAGGTAAGTAATTATTCACTATAGTGAAGATTAGTTATAATACATGGAATTGAAATGTTCATTTAGTGTAATTACTTACAATAAGAAGAATTTACTGTGACACTAATATGAATTTCTAAAGGTCAGTATCAACAGCAACGATCCAACTTTTATAAAGAAATATAATGCCACATTTTAAGAAAATGAAGGAAAAAACCTATAATGAAAAACTAGAGTTGCTATAAAATTGATTGCTATGTGGTTTATTCACTCAAATACAATACAAATGTGGGTCTCCCATAGAGAGCCATAAGAGTCGCATACATACATCCAAAGTGACTGCACTGACGCCTCCTTGTGGCAGATGTTCAGTGAAGGTACGCCACAGGGAGGGCAGCCAGTGACCAGATAAATGGCCTGGTAAAGGACTTAAAAGGAGGTACTGGATAAAGGAACAGAACAGGGGAGGGGGTTCAGGGATTCCTATGATTGGTATGTCAGGGAGCCAACCCCCCACCTCATTCTCATAGCCCTCTTTAACCCTCTTATGAGGCTGGTGGATGGTAAGGTTCAAGCCATGGGCTGGCTGGGGGACCTGGATGGAAACAAAGCGGGGCTGGTGGAAGCCCGGAAAATTGATTTGAATAAGCATGGATTAAACAAGGGGGGCTTGTGGAAGCCCTGGAGAATTGATTTGAATAAGCATGGATTTGCCTGCACTGTACACTTTATCTGCCGGGTAGTCCCAGACATCTATATAATAAAGTTGCGGCCTGATTAAAACCCATAACAAGTCTCCTGTCCTTCTTGCGGTATACCCAGACAAGTAGATCTGTGCTCTTTAACGAACATTATTCCCATTAACACCAAATAGTGTTATATGCACTCTCTGAAAATACACCTGTATCATCCATTTAATTCCTTAAAAGGCAAAAGCATTCATTCTCATTAGTGCAGTGTTTGAAATTTCACGTAGTGAACACCATTTATGAGACCAGCAGGGTGAGAGCCAGACTGTAAATCGTCCCATTTTCACACATTTTTAATATTAAAGTTTATTGAACAGAAGTTAAACTGTAAAAAAGTTTAAGTTGTTGGTTAAAATGAACCAGCAGGGAACACAAGCAGTTGCTGGATAAACAAAGGTTATAAAAAATCTTGTCTTCAATATGTTTTATGTCATGCTTATTCTGAAAACAATCATACCATGGAGCAGCCACCAGCTAAAATTGTCTGCTTTTTTATTAGTATTGCAGAAAGCCAAATTTGGTTTTTTTACAGCCACTGTTGGTTCAGGTACAGCAGGTTGACTATAAGAATATTTAGAATCTCTGATTTGGTCTATCTTTGGTCTATCCTACCAGAATTCTGATAATATCTACCAGAATATCTGGCAGAATTCAGAGGGAGGGTTCTCTGCTAACAATAACCTGATTCCTAAATAATTTAAGAAAGTTTTGTGTGTGTGTTATAGGATGTAGCTGAAGTAGCCTCTAATACAGCTTTTACAAAGAGTGCTCTTCATCAGCTAAGCCTTAAGTATCTTTCTGCCCAGTGGTTAACTTCTAACAAACTGCCAGCACACAAAATACCAAATTTAAAACGATTTCTAACTTATAGCAAATGTGAATTAGTAGATATGATTGTTCAGAAAATAATTATTCTGGTTAACTTATACTGGATCTTATGAGTAACACCGTATCTTAACTGCAAACTATTGGTCTTAAAATCGGTTTAAAAAGTATTTTACCTACTTTCATACAAACATATTTAAACAAAATCACCCTTTTCTTCAACATAACAGAGAAAAATATTTTAAAAAATAATCTGCTTGTTTATTCTAGAAACATTTCACTTGAAATTTTTTCCCTATTTATTAAAAAAAACAAAAACAAAACTTCTCTCACCATAGTCAGTGACTGATTTTGGAGCACGCTGTTCTGTTTCTGTATTACGTTTCTTATTCTTGGATTTCCACGCATGATACACTTTTAGTCGTCTGTGAAACTCTTCTCTGCAAGCTGCCAATAGTTCAATATCTGTCTCAAAAACATCAGGGAAGGAAAGAGTGCAAAAAATCAGATGACAAACCTATTTACAAAATATGTTATATATATTAGTTACATAATTTTAGAGCAAGTTACAACATAACAGTATTTCATACAATGCAAGTAAATTGAAAGCTTGTAACAAGTGAGAGACAATGCACAAGCACCACAATATGGACCTTTGGCATTCCTGATTGCAGCAGGACTGACAGATACAAGCAGACTAGGCAATATCTTTAATACCACCCATACATTACTGGGTAATAAGTTTGTGTGTATCAGTCTCTGACAAACTCCCACTCACATGTGAAAGTCACACACCACACTTATCAGTTCAGCTGAGGTGGAATGAGCAAGGGAGGAGGAGGAATGGCAAGCGACTGGCTTCACATCACGCTTGAAGGTAGATCCAAATGCTGGTGAGACCCTCTTCACTGTCCCTTGCTTGCATATTCTTCTCCTTACTAAAGTCCAGGGGCAAGATCACTACCTATGCTCTAGCCCCTTTGTGATGTGTAAAAAGGCCTAGTGGCATAAAGGGAATCCAAAAGACCCATATTCAGCCATAGAGGATTCCCCTGGTGCAGGATCTGTGGAAGACAGCTATAAGACTGACTCCCAAGGATTCCCTTGCAAGTACTCGCAGACAAGGTATACTGCGATGCGGGAGTGGCGAGAACAGAAACGTAAAGATTCACAGTTGGATTTTCTAGTGTTTTTCCCCAGTACCCACAGGGTCCAAGCATCCTTCTCCCTCTCCTCACACTGGAAGCCGAATGCAGTGGACAGCCTGGAAGGTTTTTTTTCTCTTTTCTGGAGGTAGGGACAGCCTAGCAGCAGCTGATTCGCTGCCAGGTTTGGAACAGTCATCTAGAGTTATTATTTTCCATTTGCTTTCTTTGCCTATTAATTACTACAAGCAGAACTTACTTCATTCCTGCCAACCGTACAGGGAACTAGCTTGCTGAGAAAACACTCGGCAGCCTGGCTACTCAATCAAGGCCTGGACTTTTTTCCTTTAAACAGAGATGGTTACTTTTGCCAAATTATCTGGCCCATACAGACAATAGATGGTAGAACGATACCAAATGCCTGTCACTGGTCACCTAAGAGGATTTGAACTGGGTTCACCAGAGGTGAACAGCTAAGTGCATTAACCCACTGCACGCCCTAGTCTGCAGCCAACAGTGCCTTAATCCAAAAACTCAAAAATTATAAAAGAAAAGGCTCAAATTTAAGGCTAATTCAGTGGTTTAAAAACAAATCTTGAGAATGGATAGATTTCTATCTAAGATATCCAAGGAGGAATGAGGCATCTGGCAGATACATCCATTAGCCTTAAGATAGATATCTTTTCCAAGAAATAAACCAATTGTTCATAATTGACACAAGGTAACAATTATAATACAATATAAAGGACTATTACAGATTATCGGGGTGGTGGAGGGGGTTAGCCTTGTTAGTCTGTATCCAGAAAATGATGCATCTGAAGAATGCCCAAATAAATCTGTTAGTCTTTAAGGTGCCACCAGACTCCTTGTTATTACAAATTAGTTCATCTCTTCATGATACTGAAAATATCTAAGTATTATATAGATAAGATGTAGCTTCTGAGAAAATTAAGCAAATACTAATTTGATCAGCTACAATGTCAACACATCTAGATTGTGTTTTAAATTAACTCATTATGTTCCTTTTAGTTTTGGTGAAGGCAAGAAATTAGTTATAAACTTAGAAGATCTTACAAATTCAGGGTAAAACCACATGTATTTAGTTCCATTTCACTGAAATAGAAATTATTTTTAAACAATGTCATTAAGAATTTATAGCAAGTTACTCCTGACTGAAGTGTATTAATTTCACAGGTACAACTATGAATATAACAGGTAACATAATAGTATCTGTTTCCTCAAAGGGAAATGGCATATTTGCTCTCTCCTTTCGAGAAAAGTCATTCAAGTTAGTTTTTCATCTGAGACTAAATTAGTGAGTTCAAAATTCTGTCCTGGTGAAAGAGGGGATAGATTTATTGTACTATTGGAACACAATCCCCCTCAGTCCCAAGCAAACACAAACTTACCACAGGAAGTATTGATTGTATCACGAAGTTCTGCATATTTCCACTTACTAAGATCATGCTTCTTAGTGCCAGCCGCAGCTTTTGTGGCTTGAACTACAGGGCCCCTACAGTTATAACAATAATAACCAATAAACAATAATAATAATATTCAATGTACAGAAAGGAAAGGAGAGTGAGAAGAAATATTAGAGACAACAGGATAAGCAGATTGAGCAATCATCTCTATGCAATATGCATTACATTGAAAAACATTATATGTTCTAAGAGCTGAATGCAAAAAAGACAAAATAAAATTCACCTCATAACTTCCAGCAGCATAATATATCTTTATTGTAACATATTGGTATTATTAAAAAGAAACTCGAGTCGGAGTATAATTTAGATCCAAAATCTGACTTACCTCAAATATATTTTGTTATGTACTTTGTATTCTAAATGTTCAATTTGCTCATTTGCAAAGAGATTAAAACAAACTAGAAGTTAATATATAAGTGTGGCTTGCTGAAAACAAGGCTGTGTGTATTCCACTACTCTTTTTGCAGCAGCTTTTAAATATAAACTGTTCCCAGAACTACATATAGTCCTGAGGACATCAGTAATACTGATGCAGAATAGAGGCAGTAAACAACAACAGCAAAGTAAATTTTAAGTTCCACTAGCAAAACAAGGGTGAGGGAAAATGACAAAGTAGAAAAGAACAAAATTTAAAGGGAAACACCTTACAATGTCTAAAAACACAGAGAATAAATAAAATAATCAATGTTTCATCCAAAACTCCCAATGTAATAGAAGAAATAAAATTAATTCTAAATTAAAGTAACTTTAAAGTGTCTCACTTATTCACAAAAAATCAGCATTAAGTAACATGGATGGAAAGGCCACAAGACACCGCCATTCACAGAACAAAGGCTGAAAGACACAGGACTCCATGGTAATCCATGAAAGTTAGGACTAACTACATCAGGCCCAGACAAATGATAAAATGACCTAACTTGATACTTTGATGATTTTTCAAATATATCAGTCTTCACTGTAGTACATTCAAGGCAGAGAAATTTAATATCCTATAATATACTACTGTCATTTGATTCTGAACAATAATACAGATAATATCTTTATTTTTCGCTCTTAGCAATTATGACTGAGGGATGAAAGCACTCTCTTCATATCTGTGATTATCCTGTGCATTAACATGACTCAAATTGGGATTGCAGCATCACCATCCCTAATGAATGACAGAACATGTTGAATTGTTGAGTGATTTGAGATAACAGATACAAGAGTTTGGTAGCCTCTACTAAAGCCCAGGAATAAACCAGGAAGCAGACTAAATTATCTCAAACTCTGGGAGGATCCATTCTCCAGGCCAGGGGTTGAGGTTACCACCAGGGTAGCACATCACTAGATATAGGCATATCACTAAAAAAAATGAACATAAGAAACAATATACCATGTTCTTTTTGTGCAACTTTGTATTGTAGTCATGTCTTTGCATGAGTACAATATCATTAGAATGCAACTAGGTATATGTATGTGACAGAAAGTTTACTTTTCTGTAAAGTACAGAGTGATATCTAGATATAGTCTCATTTTGTTTTTATGAAGTTACACAAGTTCTCCAAACTCCTAGAGTGTATTACACTTCCAAAATTACCAAGATATAATTATATTAATTTTAATATATTATGTAATTTATACAAAAATATATTAATCATGGAAGCTTATTCAGCTATAAGTGTTTGGACAACTTGTGTAACTTCACACTCACTAATGAGAGAGATTCTATTTGGGATTTCTCCAGTGACATGGGGCATCTAGTTGTGATAGTCCTTGGAGCAGACAGAATACTACATACACAAATAATCATCAAGGGGATAGAATAAAACCAGCTAGTTTATGCAAACATCCTTGTTAACAGCAACTCAAACAACAACTCACATGTAAATGATTAACTCTGCAACTCCTTACTCTTTAAAGCAATCTCCAACCTGTTATGACCATTCTCATGTGCACTTACTGACTTGTAATGACAGCCCTCAATTACAAATATATTACTACACATGTGACAAGTTCATACAGAAGTTATATTCTTCATCCACTAAACAATACAAAGTTGAAATACATTTTGAAAACATTTTCCCCCCTCTATAATTACAAGACATTAATATAAAATATGTATATAAAATCTCACCTGTGAAACAAATGACTAAATGAAAGACTACTTTTAAAAAATATTTTAATACACTGTTAAAGTATCAGGAGTATGTCATTAAAGGATTGTTGTTAAATGTAATTTCCGCTACATGTCTAACCTTCCTGAACCATTAATTTGACAAATCCTGAGGATTTTCCTTATTTAGCAACATCATCCATCACTCCTAAGAATCCCCTACAGAGTTTAGATCAACAGAAGTAGGCCAGAAGGTCTCTGGTCAAACAAATCATCTTTAAGAATGTTAATCCAATTGAATGGCTTAGCCTTTCCATTACAGTACTACTCTGTGCTGAGATCACCACTTTGTTTTTTTCTACATGGTTTTAAATAGCCTGGAAGTAGTAAGAACAAGAACACTCACTTCATAATGTTAGTCTTCATTACTGTACTCACAATCCAAATAATGGGTATGGACCAAAATCAGAATGGCAGTTGATTATTAAAATTCAGTCTCAAAAAGGAGGTTACTTACCTGTGACTGGAGGTTCTTCAAGATGGCTGGTCCCTATCTGTATTCCACATGGGATATACACAAGTGCATTATGTGCCTGAGTCCAGAATTTCTTGCAAGCAGCATCCGTTGGCCCACATGTAGCTCTCCTGTGCTCCCTAATGAGGGCATAATGGACTGTGTGGGCTGATGCCTGTCCAGTTTCCCATTCTTACTACAATATAACCAATCTGCAACTGAGGGGACAGAGGGTGGGTAGTGGAAATCAGATAGGGACCACACGTCTCGAAGAACCTCCAGTTCCAGATAAAATCCTCCATTTCTTCCCTGGGTGATGGTCCCTATGTGTGTTCCACACATGGAAGATTAACAAACAGTAAGCAAACAGATGGTGGGTGTGAGGAGGCAGAAGTGATAGCAGTCTGTAGTACTGCTGTCCCCACAGCTGTCTGCGCAGTTCATAACTGCACCAGGGGATAATGTCTTGTGAAAGGTATGCAAAGAGCTGCAAGTAGCTCTCCTACACATCTCTCTAGTACGGGTATGTCTCAGAGATGCAGCTGAAGTAGCTTGCCCCCTGGTAGAATGAGCTTTTACCTCTTGGGAGGTTGTGGGTAGGAGGAGAATGCCAGCTAGTTGGTAACAAAGGGTAATATAACCCGAGATCAATTTCAAAAGTCTCTAAGCTGATACACGGTGATTTCTTGATTGCTCTGCAATGGAAACAAATAGTTTCAGTGTCTTTCTAATGTCTTTTGTTCTATGTGGTGTGACAAAGTTCCTGCTCTACCTTGGTGGGTCTTGCGCTTATTGGCGGATTTGCTCGCCTTGGAGCTTCACGGCAGCCCTCATCTTGGCCATTTTTCTGAATTCACAGTCCAGGTCGATGACTCCTGTGTCTGACCAGGAGTTGGGAGGATTTGGGGGGAACCCAGGCCCGCCTTCTACTCCGGGTTCCAGCCCAGGGCCCTGTGGAATGCAGCTGTCTAGAGTGCCTCCTGGAACAGCTGTGTGACAGCTACAATTCCCTGGGCTACTTCCCCATGGCCTGCTCCCAACACCTTCTTCATCCTCACCATAGGACCTTCCTCCTGGTGTCAGATAATGCTTGTACACCTCACTCCCCCAACATTCCGTGTTCTCACTCTCAGCTCTTAGTGCCTCTTGCTCCCAGCTCCTCACACGCACACCACAAACTCAAGTGAGCTCCTTTTTAAAACCCAGGTGCCCTGATTAGCCTTCCTTAATTGATTCTAGCAGCTTCTTGATTGGCTGCAGGTGTTCTAATCAGCCTGTCTTAATTGTCTCCAGAAGGTTCCTGATTGTTCTGGAACCTTCCCTGTTACCTTACCCAGGGAAAAGGGACCTACTCAGCCTGGGGCTAGTATATCTGCCTTCTATTACTCTCCTATAGCCATCTGGCCTGACCCTGTCACAGTGGATAAAAAGCTAAAGTGCTCCAGATGTCCAGAAAATGCAGTCTTCTCTCCTCTTCCAGGGCACATGGCTTAGGAAAAAATACAGGTGAGTGGATGACCTGACTCATCTGAAACTCGGAAACCACTGTAGGTTTGAATCTCAGGTGGGGGCGTAGCAAGATCTTTTCTTTATGGAATGTAGTTTATGGTGGGCCTGTCATAAGCACTCCCAGTTCATTGACTCTTCTGGCCGACGCTATAGCTATCAAAAAGGCCACCTTCATGGAAGGATGGATCATAGAGCATGTGGCCAGTGACTCAGAGAGAGTCTTAGGGAGAGTGATGATAGAACAAAATTGAGATACCACTGAGGTGAAAACTTCACCAATGGTGGAAAGAATCTGAGAATCCACTCAGGGAGTGTGAACGATCTGAGAATCCACAGGAGGATGGAACACACTGATTGCAGCTAAATGCACCCACAGAGAACTGAATGCAAGATTCAAAGAGTTGAGGGTAAGGAGATATTCTAAGATATCAGAAATTCCGATGGAGTCTGGAACAAAATGAACATCAATGAGTCCAAGTGTAAAAATGCTTCCATTTAGTTGAGTAACAGCTTCTTGTAGAATCTTTGCTACTTTAGTTAAAGATGCATTTGACCCTTTTGGAACATGAGCATTCTATCACCAAAGTGCATCCAAACAACAGGCTCCAAGTTGCAGCTGCCTCAGACTAGGGGGTGTGACCTTGTCCCAGTACTACATTAGAAGGTCCAGAAACATGGGGATGCTCATGCACTGAGAGCTTCATCAGATCCATGAACCAGAACTATCTCGGCCAGTTGAGTGTGATAAGGTTGACTTGAGCTCTATCTTAGTGGATCTTCCATACAACTTGTGGTATCAAAAGAACTGGAAGGAAGGCATACTCCAGTAGACCATTCCACAACATTAGGTGGGCATCTCCCAACAAGTCTTTGCCCAGGGTTGCTTTGGAGCAGTACAAAGGAAGCTTCCT